GACGTGTCAATTTCTATTTCCTCACATTGAGATGGAGGTTAGATCTCACTGCTGAATTGTTACGTTTTGTGTTGAAAAAATGATGTGGTAATTAAGTTTGCATCACTTAAGTAGGTGAATGTATAAGATGACATAATACAGGCACTGAATATTGTACCAATATTGGACGATGGAACCGTACGTTTGAGGTGGCGTATCAAGCACGTATCACTATTAAGAGCCCTCATGAATCCAATGCTTTTCAAATATGATTATCGTGCCAAACGAGTTAGTTCATCCATCGTTTTTTATACAAATTATCAAATTTATTTTCTTCTCGCAAACTTCCAAACAGATCTATCACACTACCACTGATTATTTCACAAGGCATGAAACCAAAATTGAATGATTTTTTTACGCAGTAAAAAATTTGAAGCAATAAAATGAATATTCAGCTCTCAATGTCGGCCATATTCAATATGTTTTCCCAAGTGTTCCCATTCGGGAGAAAAATATTTCCCAACAATAACCTTATATTGATTCATCGTTTGTAAGCACTGGTAAGAATAGCAGTGAAGTTATACGAAATATGTGACTGATTTGTGAAGTGATTTATTTCAGTTGAAATGGTTCGATGGTTATTCAATATTCACTGTTGACGGGAACGGTCTTGTTTATAGAGTTGTCACTCAAAGGGTTATTCATTCTTTCATTTGTTGTGACGTTTACCTGGTATTTTTAACATATTCTAATTGTTTATATATGTCACATCATTCATCAGTGATTTTCTGTAATGTATTATTGAGCATGCGATCAGTGCCCGTAATGAATAGATTTCTGATCACCATAGGAATACAGAGCTCGTATCTTTGCTGATTGGCGGCATACAGTGGTCGCTGATGGATGTGTCGACGAATGGAGATGGTCGATACAAACAGAATTCGAATTATTGTGCACATCAAGAAAATGAAAATCAATTCAAGGTGATGCCGGATGAGGAGAGAGGATTGGATCGAAAGAGTGCCACGCAACGGTTAGCTGAGAAAATTGGTGTGCTACCGAAAGGAGCTGAAGCGACATCAATATCATCGGACCATAATCGCTTGTCATCGTCTGCGTTCAATTGACCATCCTGTGCAATACTCGTTGTTTTAATCCATTTGGTTCTATCGATTGATCAGTCAACACATCGAATGTTGATGATTTATTGGATGGATTATATTGAAATATATTGACAAAAAATTCGTGTTAGAAGTGATCTTGTATTATTAGAAGTGCTGTTATTGTTGTATATAATGAGGCTTTGTGTGATGTAAGTTGCGAAGTTTTGTTTGTGTTTTTGGATTGTTGTTTTAAAGTAATAGATTGTAAGTGAATAAAACGAAACGTTACTTGTGCCAAATATTGGTAATCATTTGTTAGTGATTGTTTTAGTGAATTGAACTAATCAACGACTTTCAAATGAATTGTTTTTTGGTGCGCTTGAAAGGCACAGCATGCTCGTTGCTGCTAATTTCGGACATTCATGATTGTTGACTCGTTTAGTTGAATAAATTCATTAATTGAATGACGTATTATTAATGTGCGAGCTACATCACCAAAAAATGCTGTCAAGAGGTGATGAAGAAAAAACATCGCTCCTACTGTTCTTTTTTTGCATGAAAGTCAAAAACGATTTTGAAATTTCAAAAGTGAATGTATATGTTGAATTAGCGATGCTTTTGGATCTGTTCGGTGGAGCGGCTGAGGACTAGTAAGCTCATGCTTTCACTCATCCTTGTGCCTAAAACGGTCATCATCCTATCGAATTGCATTCCTTTGGATGCTTTTATCCACTCATGTCACGTCTGTTATTCACACTGACAAGCCTAAGCAGTGATAACCACTGAATAATAGAACCCGTATTACTGACTAATCGCTCCCATTTCTTGCAGATTCCTTGCGCAATTAATTTTTACCTGGCACAGTATCACCATATGCACTTGGTGGACCGTTAGCAAACGTATTAAAACATTTCTGACACTTCTATGTTCCCATCTGCCTGAACCTCTGCCATTAAAGCAGCGGTGCATTGTTGGCATAGTTTAAGACATCACAGCAACAAACAATTAAGTTTCTAATGAGAGCAACCGCGAAATTAGCATGGCGAGAAGCTGTAAATTGAAGGCATCGTATGATGAAATTTCAACGCAAATACATAGATGCAAAAATATACGTTTTATAAGAACGAAAAAACGTATCAGATACTGTTTATTGTTTGAATGTTTTGTAGAACCTTTTTTGCAAAGTCATCGCTGTGAAAGATCTGAATTCATCGAAAATAGTGATGCTTTTGGCTATGATGTGAAATTACGGTAAAACGAAAATGATGTAAGGAAGAACGGAGGCATATCTTTGTTGGAGAATGAAAAGTTCGTTGAGATTCCGTTTTTAGTTTGAATGATTTACAGAACTTTTTAACGAAGTCATCTCTTCAGAATTATCAATCTCACCAAAAATGGTGATCAAAGCGACCATCTTCTTAAGACCAAAAGGAGCTATGGGAGAACTAAGAACGTGTTACAAATGGTTTACAACTTGAAATGGAGAATGCGATAACCATTGGATGAGGTGTTTTATGCAAGGCGATTTCTTCTTGTTTGATGTGACAGCGCAATCGTGGTGATGTTCGTTTCATATTTTCAATGAATTTTACTGAAGTCAGCATTTCCGATGGGTGTTATTCACCGTTGTTCATCTATCATTCCGCATAACTCCGGAAGAGAACCCATATTACTGACTGCGTTAACATTCGCTGATACACAAACGTGTGAAGGTATTATTGAATATTTTCGTGGCATCTGATTTCTGCAGTTAAAGAGACGGATAATCATCGGTTTGTACGAATAATCATAGATAATCATCATACTTTATTAATCACAATGAGGATATCCTGATTAATAAAGTGTGATGGGAAAATTTTGAAAAACGGTGCTCTTCACTCACTGCTCACGATGCGAACACGAATTCTTCAGCTGCTTATGATCACTGCTCACAAATTTGGCCACAGTTGCTTGATCACTCCTCACAACGAAAATATATTAACGGTTGCTCAGTCATTGCCCACGTTCGTGAGCATGAGTCTTTAACTGTTCAGGCTCACATTTGGATGATATGGTGATGAGTCTTCCCTTCCTGATGTTTCTAAACAGAGGTTGAGAAGGCGAGAATTGCGTGACTCTTCGAGTTTCGCATTAAATAAGAGCATCCATTCACTGAGCAGCATTCGGAAAGAGAAGAGATCCCATAGGCAGCTGTTCTCTTAAAAAATCCGAGAGGCGATTAGTGAATGGTGGTGAATGATATGAAATGATTTGACCTCTGAATTAGTGATGGCAACCGAATGAAATTTCATTTCGGTCGAAATCTGACTGAATCGGCTTTTCAACATTTCCATATTCGAAATTACGACCGAACTTCAGAATTGCTCGATCGGAATCCGAATGTCGCAATTCCGACCGAAATCATCCGGACTTTCCAATCGAAGTCGGTCGGATGCCCTCATTACCATGCACGATTATTTAGTTGTGAAGTGAAAGTCGCAAAAAGTCGACCCGTATCTAGTAATTTCCCGAAAATTTCATTCAGCTATAATGAATTCAGTCGTTTCCTCAACTTGTGAAAAGAATTTGTGGACGAGACTAGCGATGAAATGTATTGTGCGGATTTTGGCGATGAACAACATTGCAACCACTGAGTACTGCAAAAGAACTATTTTTTCACCGAATTCATCAAATTCAGGCAAATCAATAACTCGCAATTCATACCAGCAAGGCTCAAATCTTTGACAACACCACTGAACTGTGATCTTTTATGTTTCTGATTGGAAATATGATTTGACATGGCGTGATGGGACAATTAAGTTACTATGTCGGCAAAAGCTGATGCACTTGCAACTTGAGAATTTTTTATGGATTTGTGGGAAATGATTTAAGTTCATTTCAACATAATTTCAATGTTAAGTTCATTGTACCACTTCAAAATGTTACACGAATCATCACATTATGCTAAAATGAATGTGTAAAACACTACTGCTCAGATGTTACCATTTCAAATGTAATTTCATTTATGAGGACTAATAAATTTGGATAGGAACATCAGAATCCCTAATCTGGAAGTGTAGTTTTTGGGTTGTATTGACTGAGACCGTAATTCCAATGGATCTGAAGGTGTGCTCAGATAAAATCTGCTAGCTGAGATGTGGTTTTGTGGTTGGGGAGATATTCAAACCGGGGTAGTGTTATTATAATTGTAACAGTGATGCGATGTACTTGGACTGTCTTCTAAGAAAGTTCAAATGCTGTGCTTCAAATTACATCAGCTAGACTGTAGATTTTGATTTAGATGTTACGAGCAATTGCTCCTTGAAAGCAAAATCGCTTTTCGAGTCTATGCTTACTGCGCCAATCGCTTCATTTGTGCGCTTTTCTCTGACTCTCTGAGTTTTTCGCAAGTAATCCCGATGGCATTAGGTTCTATGTAACGTTTGATGGGGAGTGTGCATGTCTATGGAGAGGATGAGAGAGCGCTATGCGCCAGTTGAGTACTAACCGCTTAGCTGTTGTGGCAATCCTACTTGTCGATTACTCAAATGCAGCCATTCGTATCAACTGGGAACGAATTGCGCTGGATTTTAAACGTCTTTAACAGGCTTTTTCAGGTTGAAGTTTGTGTTCGGCAGACCGAGTTACTGTGAATTTATTGACCAGCACTAAACTCATGCATGTGACAGTAAAAAGAGAGAGTATAATCATGTTTCATTGCCATATTCAATTTCCTCAGAAACGTTTTCGTTGAATCTGCCCAATGAATAGCCATGGCATTTGTTCCTTATTGATTATCCACGCTGTCTCATCTTAAATTGTTCATTACTTACAAAACCTCAAAAGTTTCATGCTCATTCTCGACTTTACTATCAAAAACATTATTTTTGTTAAGGAGTGATCCAACCGTATGATGGAAATTACTTTTTCCAAAGCCTAAGCATACTCCTGATTTGACTTCGAATTACTGCTCTAAACATGTGACAAAGTGGTAATCTAATAAGCACATGCGCGCAGTGGCGCCCGTTATCAGCAAAAGTGGCTATTCCATGGTCATTTCACGAATTCACCATTAGAATAAGTTATGAACATGATTTTGCTCTGGTCATCGTGCTTGAATGATAACACCTTCTTGGATGCTGTCCGCAAATGAAATTTGAGCTTCAAAGGTTCAAGTGTAAGATGAGCACCGAATAAATTTATAATGTTATTCGTGGTTTGACACGTTTATTGAAATATTTACGCATACGTATTAACGGTTGTTTATGTTCAAAGGTGATATATAACATAGATGTTATCTCGATGTTGCGCTCACATCCCCATATCTGATATTACATCATTCATCACTCTCGGTTGTATGGTTTTGGAATGCATTAAGGTCATTGCCTGTTATTATTATTGTTATTGGTTTGTATGTTCGTTTGTCAAAGTCATTATATTTGGTAGTTATGACTGTCGTAAATTTTGATGGTTTATCCATTTCTTGACGGATCACGTTTAAACAGGAAACAGCTCAAGTGATCTGAAAATTTTTCACGAGAAAATAGTAATTTATTATTTGAGTTTACGATGAGTAGGTGATTTGGTTATGCTTGCTTTAATCCGCATCTTGAGAATCGAACTCTGATTATTTGCAAAAATTATTTCCAA